AGGCCGCACCAGCGGCCGGCACTGGCGGGAGAAGAACTGCATGCGGCGGTACGGAGCCGGCCATAGGTAAGGTGGGGGTGTCCCCTGGGGACTACAGATCCCCAACGCTAGGCGCGAGGTCCCTGCAGCGTGGTGTGTGCCGCTCCCCGCCCGGGCCCTGTTCGGGTTTCCGGTCTCTGCCCCGCTGCGATGTGCCCGCGCACTCGGGGCGTACCGGTGTTGCCGGCTGTACGGTCATGATTCTGTTTGTACGGTCATGTCAGCCCTTATACGATCAGTAATAGTTAAAGTGTTCAAAATGCACGAGGGGTGTAGGCTTGCAACCGTGCTGGTCTAAGGTTCGTTGGGTGAAACCGATCTCTTTTATTAAACCAACTCAGATAGTTGGCAAGCTTTCGGGTGCAAACACCCTTGGTCAGGCTGAGGAAGCATTTGCAGTTGGTTTGAGCTCTTCCTGGAAGAGTCCCACAGGCTGCACAATGCCTTCGTCCTGGAAGAGCACAGACCATCTGTAGACAGCTCATTGATGTAGAATGTGCCACACCCAAGTCACTCTCAAGGACTCTTAACTGGCTTTTGGGTTTGCTGTCTTTTGTTTAATATTTTGGAAAATATTTCATGTTCCAGGTCAAATTAGCCCAACTCCTTTTGATTAAGCAAGGCTCAATCGTTCAAGGCTCAGTCGTTCAAACACCATATGTGGCACTGCAACCAGCAAATATCCTGCACCCCAGACTTTTTAGCCCAGAGCTTCAGCTACTTCCAAATCCATCAGCGGGCATCCTATGTGCAGGCCCAAACCTGGGGGCTTGGGGTTTGAATGCCCCCCCAAGTTTCACTTGACCTCAGCCAAAGGCCGCAGGAGCGAGCTAGTCCCCCAATTCCATAAAATAGACATGTTGCTCAGATCCTTCTAGAAACTGGCCAGTGGGACGCTAACTATGAGACTGATAGGGGAGTCCTGTCAGCATTCAGGCTGGGGTGCATGCTCCACTACACACTGCAATTTAAATCCAGTTGCGCTGGGGTATTAGACCGGTACAGAAACGATGTTTGATCTTAGGTTTGCTGTGAGCACCTTCTTATGACTGCCTGCCTGGAAGTACAGAAATGCTTCCACTTTGATGACTCAGTCTCACTCACTCACTGATGACACACAATGAGCAATATAAAGTAAAGAAGACGACTTATTTGTACCTTTCGTTAGCGTACAATAGTTTTTCAGCAAATAAAATAATTTTGAGCTTCCAATGCAATCATTTCATATTTATATGGATACATTGGTCCATATTGTATTGGCACCAATAAAAGGAAAATTGACATTATCGGCAATTTGCCTTTTTTGGCTGACATGGCTGATAATATTGCCAGTAAATGCCATGTGCATGCACGCAGCCAGGAATGCAGCCCGGCAGCTTAGAGAGCAGCATCCGGCTGGTGAGTCTGTGAGAGGGAAGGAATATGGGGGTGCAGATTGAGGCCCCCATGGTGTGGGGGAGAGTGGGGCTGGAGCAGGGGCTGCATGGGCAGAACAAGGCATGGGATGGCGTTGCAGGTGGGGAGGGGAGGTGCACCCGCTGCTGCATGCATCCCGAGGGAGGCATGGGGAGCACATGCCACCCAGATCTGTGCATGGGGCGAGAGTGTGCTGCCCATTCAGTGCCAGGGGCAGCACCAGGCTCTTCCCAGTGGGGGGGGGCAAGATCAGGGATGCAGGTGGGGCAGGCAGCAGCAGCACTGGGAGGGGAGGCTATGGGGAAGAGAGGCTACAGCCACCCCAAAATTCACTGTAGCCCCCCCCTCCCAGTGCCACCACCGCCTGCCTCGAGCACAGCCCTAACTCAGCCCCCCATTCACTCCCCCACACCAGGAAGAGGCTGGTACGAGTCCCAAGCAGGCAGCCTACCCTCACCCCACAGACAGACCCGGGGGGCACATGCCCCCTATGCCTCCCCTGGGACATGCACAGCAGCAGGAGCTGGCTGCCTCACCCCTGCAGCCCCCTGAACAAGCGACATCTCCATCCTGTGCCCCACCCCAGTTGTGCAGCACTTGTCCCTGCCCCCGCCCCACTCCCTCCCTCACTGTTGGAGCTGTAATCAGTCCCCACCATGCCCCTTGCTCCCCACAGACTTACCAGCCGGACGCTGCTCCAAGCTGTGGGGCTGTATATCGGCAATCAGATTGGCAGTGGCTGATATGGCTCGTTAATAATCAGCCATTGGTATTGGCCCAAAACATCTTTGTCAGTACACCCCTACATATTTAAAACTTGGCAACACTGGGGCATGTATGCCACATGTTGGTCACCACTGAACTGTCCTGCTGCCAGCTGTGCTGGGAGAGCATGCCCAAGGAGTTGTGGTTCAGCCAACGTGTTTGCCCCCAGGGACCGAGCAGGGTGGCAGCCCTCTCAGCTGCTGCTTCTGTGGGACAGTGCACAGCAGTGGGAACCACACTCAGTGAGGCAGCTCTTGGCCTTTGGGAAAGAGTGTGGCCTTGGCACCTAGTTGGGGTTTTTTTTGTTTGTTGGGGGGGGTAATGTTTTGGGGGGGGTTTATAGCTGCTGTAAGAAAGCAGCAAGTGTCCTCAGAAACCTTTCTGTGAATGTTGTTTTGTTTCACTATCTCCTTTGAAATTTCCCCCTAAATTCTAGTCTTAGTAATAAGCAGGGTCCTGGTTTTCTCTGATCTAAAAAAATTAACCCAACATTCGTATTTTTCCATGATCAAAATGAAACGCCGCTATGTATGTATCCATATATTAGTGGTGTTTCAGTTTAATCACGGAAGAATGTGGATTTTTGGGTTACTTTTTTTTAATTGGAAAACTGGGGATTTTTTTTTATCAGGGAAAACCAGGATCCCTGGTAATGAGTATCAAGCAGGAGTGGGCAAAGTCCAGTCCATGGGCTGGATCAGGCCCACAGCCGACTCTGTTTCCCAGAAGCCCCTGCTCATGTTGTTGTGGCCGGTTTCCATGGAGACCCCAGGAGCCCCAGCACTGCAGGGCCAGGGTTTCCATGGAGACTGGACCCAGCTGCACTAGTAGGGTGCACAGCTGGGAAGGGAGCTGCTCCGGGCCTGAGATCTGGCAGCAGTGACCACATGGTCTGGAGCTGGGCAGGGCTGCTATTGTGTGTCCGCACATCTCAGGCAGGGGCATTCGGGCAGCAGACTGTGGCTCTGCCCTGGTTCCAGACCGCCCTGTCACCACTACAAGATGCCAGCCCCGAGGCAGCTCCCTGTCCAGCTGCACACCCTACCAGCACTGCTGGGGCTGGTCTCCATGGAAACCCTAGCCCCATGCTGTCATGATGCCACCACTACTGAGGTCTCCATGGAAACTGGTCACAGTGACATGGGCAGGGATTGCTGGGAAATGGGCTGCCAGCCAGATCTGCCATTTTGCCCACCCCTAGTATTGAGCCTTTCTTTGACAAGTGATCCTGGGATCTTTACACACAACCCTCACCATTGCGCAACGCATGAAATTCAAGCTATTGAATATACACCCCTGGAAAACAGCTGTATTTAGTTCTTAGGATAAGTAAGGCTTTATATCTTCTGTAGGTCACCCAGTTGAGGTCAGCTAACAAAGGCATAGTAGCTTGAAAGCTACCGACTTGCTGCAAACCCTTGAACAAGGCTGATGATATGAGCAAAATCTTCCAGCCATGAAAAATATTCTGAAGCAAGGTCAGTTGTAAGCTTTAAATCAAAACAGCTGTTCCTGAATAATTCCATGTGGGATGCTCCAATTCCAGAATAAAAGTACTGTTTTCTAGTTTAGATTCACCCACTTATTCTTGAATAACTTAATGTGTAGGTACACCCCTCAGGACAACAGATACTTTTTGTGATGAAGCTTTAGCTCCCTGAAACAAATTGCTTCTTGTAACAAATCTGACCTTCCTAAGGTAGCAGGTTTCTACCTTTGCCACTTCTTACCTCATCTAGCTGGTAGTAAATCCAAACAGTTTTCAGAATTTATGCCTGTGTCATAATTTGCTCATATTACTCCTTATCCAGCCAATGACAAATTCTATCAGGTAACCAGCCCCAGTCAGAGACTGGGAATAATTATGTTTAAAAAAAGAACAAAATAAACTGCACTCAGAACATAAGACGGGACTTAGAATGCCTTTGGGAAAGAACCAGTTGCTTTAAATCCCCTTAGAGAAACTTCATGCAAGTGGACATGTATTTGATTATAGTAAAGAGAAGACCCAGAAAGCTTCTTCACAAAGAGAAAATTTGTTAAGATTAAGCTGGCAATAGAGACCAGGAAGTATAAGGCTTATATAAGTATAAGGAAGTATAAGTATAATCTAAGAAGGATTTGAAAGTCCTGAAACAAAATTGGTTTTGATGATACGTACTTCCTCATGCACTATGAAAAACATCACAGGTTTCTTGCTGAATAGAAAGTGGGCAGCCTCTGTATTGTACAAAGAGTAAGACTGTATTGGATGACATGTTGCTGTTGATTCAAAATAAAAGCTAATGCAGAATTGAACTTTATTTTAGGTTTTGCTCAAGAGGTGTATTCCTCAATTAATTTCAGTGAGATATGAACTGGCCAGAATTTAGCCAGCTGCACAAAACCCTTCTAACCCATTGCTACTGTGAAACTGCCCAGTACACTTGACTATTTATTGGTGGCAGCACTTGCACACCTTGTCATCATGATAAAATGGTTTAAATTGATTGATCTGCTCTTCCCTGCTTCACCTGACTGCTTGATTCTTGTGTGCGAGCAGTGAAGTAAACTTGGCAGGAGTCTGAATGTCAACATGCTTAAAGCAAAATCTGTGTCAGTTTCCCATTGCTGCACACTGAAAAAGGACAAATACAACTTGATTTAGCTGAATCCTTTTTTTTAAGTAGATCTGCTTGTATATTGTCTTTCTGCTGTACAGTATACTGATTAAAAAAGAGAAAATGCACATTTTCATTTTTCAAAATGGTTAGAAAGGGTTCCTTATAAGGTACCTCACTTTTACTTGGAATGAAAAAAATACCATTAACTAAATGAACTAGACAGCCAGTAAATTAATTTGGCTTGCAAATTAGAAGTTACATTATCATGAAAAGCAACTTTATACTATAAAAAAATGCAAACACTTCTGGGATGGAACAACTTGTATTCTGTTTTGCACAACTCGCTATATAATGCTAAAATCACTAGCAAGTCTCACAATGATAAATTGTGCTTACAAGTAGCTCTTAATGAGGCTGAATAAGTTTCTGCCCCTTTGTCATTGGGATTGTTCCCTCTGTAGAGCTGTATGTTTGGTCCCAACCTTGCAAATTGTCCTGTGATGCAGCCTGCACCTGCAAAGAGTCCTGTGGGTGTCACTGGTGTGCTACATTAGTACAAAGATTTGCTTGCCCAGAATAGCTTAAGATTGGAGCCTTTCCCTTTTTGTCTCCAAAGTCCCTAATATTTGGACAGTTCTTGCAGCACTGTATGGGACATTCAGTGAAAGAAAAAAATGCCAGAATGTTTTAAGAACAAAGGCTGGTGATAGCCTGTGACATGCATTATCTGTATGTTTTCTTTGCAAGTAACTTCAAGTGCCCTGGGAATCCTTTTTATTTCAATGCAGCCATTCACATGCCTAAAATCTAAACACATGTATAAGTTTGCAGGATTGGGGTCTAAAATGGCAAATGCAGTGTAAAAGCCAGGCCATAAACTAGACAATCTGGTCTGCAGCCCTTATTAGAGAAATTTGCTAGAATGTGTTAGAATGAAATAGGCCTATTTTTTAACATTGGGCTAGGAAAAAAAATCCAAATTTCAGTTGCAAAAAAATCCATGTTCACCTGAATTTGTATTTAAAGTATGTAAACGCGCCACATTTATCTCCTTTCTTTTAGGGCTCTCCATGTCTTGGCTCTCCAGATTCCAGCATGTCCATAATGCTGTAGCCTGTCTTCTCCTTTACGGATCCACTCAAACTTTCCTCTCGAGTCTTGCTTCGTTCTCCCTCCCCAACTTACCAATTTCTCTCTCTCCTCATCCATTAGAAGTGTCCCCTTTCTGGATTCAAATGCTTCTGTTCCTGTTGTAAAGAGCCTTTTTTTTCCCACTGCAGCTTCTGCTACTTGCAGCAATCTTCTCTATCTATCTCATTGCAAGTCTTGGTGAAAGCATATCTTTTCCCATTTTTCTTATTTTCACTTGGCATCTGCTTTGGCTTCTCCATGTTACTATAGCATTTAACTCAAAAGTATGTTATACTACTGTTTATTTGAATGCATGACTGCATATAGTGCAGCTTTTGTTTGTTTTTGTTTTTGAGATACCTTCCTAATAATAAATTACAATAACTCTCCAAATGGCAGGGTTTTTTTTCTACAGTTGGATGTTATAGAAGATTTTGAAAGTACCTAATAGAAGAAAGAAAACAGTAAGCCTACCCGTATACAAATGCAGCTTTGGGGAATCAAATCACTCCAGCTATTTACAAAAAAATGTGGGGTAAAAAAAAAGCTGTTGACAGAACATTTTTGTAAAAAACAGGTCCCACATGCTCTTCTTGTTACCTCTACCTCTCTCCAGAGCAACAAGAAAGATGGTTATGAACAGGTTAGCAAAAAATACAAGGACCTGCACCGCTCTGTCACGTCTTTCAAAGATAGGCCTCGAACCCCAGAAACATTATTTAAAGAAGACAGTTTGATATATGGACCAGTGATTAAATGCAGGTCTCCAGATAAGGCTGCTGAAGCAAAAACTCCAAAGAACTGGGTCCCTCTATTAAATCCCAGTAAGAAAACTTTGCCTCTAACCAATGACCCAAGGCTCCCACTGAAAGTTAGTTTAGGAAAGCACAGCATACCCAGTGTGACAAATATCCTTCAGCAGACCATGCCTGAAGAACAGGCCTTTTACCTGAAGAGGTGGAAACAGCAGATGATACTGAAACTTGGAGAAGATGGTTTTGCAGAGTACAACAAAAGTAAGTCTAACTATAGCAGTTATAAAAATGATGGGCTGAGTCAGTATTTAATGGCAGAGTGGAATAAGAGTTGAAGGCTCCTATGCTTTTCCTTGTAGACTCCATTCCACTGTTTGTGGTAGTGTGTGCTAGAATCAGCAGGAGGTAAGTGAGGTGGGAAATATCTGTGGAACATGACGGATGCTTTTAGTGATACTTTTCTGCATGTGTGGGCATAAAGTTGTTGGTGTAATCTTCCAGCCTAACAATAATTATCTAAGGGTCTTAGGATGCTCAGAATTCTAGAATCATAGGAGATGACAGTTCTGCAGACTCTGATATTTGTATTCATGTACTCAGAACTGGAAAGCAGACCCCAGTGCCTGCTGGCCAATTCCTCTAAATACGCCAGCTAGCTTAATAGGGCTAGGGCTCTAGCTACAATATATTGGCTTGCTAGGTGCTCTGAATCAACAAGCATTTGGAAAGCCATATGGCCTGATTTATACGCTGAAGTGTTTTTGCAGTTATGAACTTCAGTATGTAAAATTTTCCATTAGGTTTTCTGATTTCTGAAAAGGCATCAAAACTAAAGCAGCAAAGGCCTGCTGAAATGTCTAACCATGGGGATGCTAATTATTTTTGTTATAGCTAGAGCAAAGTAAATGGTACAATACATATATGAATTTATGCTGAACAGAAGAACTGATTTTGCTTTGTTGTATTTACAGCTGCTAATTTATGGTGGCATTTATTAGTTTACTGTGGCTTAATAGGGCTGCATGTGTAGATGCAGAGACTTTACCACAGAACTAATTAGGCAGCTCCGCAGTAAACATCTTGTGTAGACATACCTGTTGTGTATTAAGAGTAGGGTCTTAAAGATGGTTTTTGTTGTGATGTTTTTTAGACATCCTTCTTCAAGGGACGCTCTTTCATGCAGCCTTGGAACATATATGTCAGTCTAGAGAGGTCCCTCAGCAGGAGCTGGAAGATGCCATTGTCTCTGGCTATGTGGAAAGTGTGCAACATGTCCTGAGAGAGATGAGTGGAGTAAAAGCTCTTGAAAGTGCTGTCCAGCATGAGACTCTTCAATATCTGGGCCTGGTAGATTGTGTGGCTGAGTATCGGTGAGATGAGTGTTCTTGTATAAAATGAAGTATTGTCCAAAGTGATAGCTTGCAGTCTAGTCAGGGTTGTTTGTTACTGTATGGCTCATAGACATGGGGAGCAGTAGCTGGGAGGCTGATTGGACTTGTGGGGAGATGTTGGAGAGACTGCTGAGACGAGTGGGCACATAATCAGCAACACAACAGTGGAAAAAGGCATGTGAAACCAGAGGTCCTGATAACAGGGGGACTGCTCATCCCATCACTGTAGCAGCCTATCACCATGAACAGGCTACATGACCCTAAGTATTGTCCTCCAGAACTGCAGCAGGCATAGGTAGTACTTGGTCCCCTGGACTTAACCCATCTCTTCTGAAGAGGACCTCTGGGTGGCACCAGCAAAGTAATAACAAACAACACTTTGTCAGTGGGAGCTGGGAGAAACATGTTCACGACTAACATGTTTGCGTGTCATGTCTTTTTATTATAGTCATTTAACATAAAATAAAATGTTGCCTTCCCTTACTACATTGTACAGAGGCCAGTTGTGTGTGATTGACTGGAAGACATCGGAGAAACCAAAGCCATTTCTACGGAACACATTTGACAACCCGTTACAGATTGCAGCCTATGTTGGAGCCATAAACCATGATGCTAATTATGACTTCCAGGTTAGTGGACTGACTGCCTGCTGAGACGAGCAGGAGTTGCCATATCGCTATTGCCTTTCTCCAGTATAGAACTGTAGTTAGGGTTTCTACATTTGGGCCAAGAATCTGTCCCAGCCTGACCTGGTTTTGTCATCATCACTGCTGAGCATGCTGCTTTCCACTTTGCTGCCCCATTGCTAAGAGCCTGATTTTCAGAACTGGGGCATAAAAACTGAAGTCACTGGGAGCTACAAATGTCCAGCCTTTTTGTAAAGCCCAACTCTGAAGCGGAAGGCCAAATCACAACAAAAATGCAGGGCCTGGCCAGTACAAAGGGAGAAAAAGTTCAGTCTTGCTCCCTTGTGCTTTCTGTGATCGACTGACACGTGCAAGCAAGTAGGAAGTGGTAAAAATAGTTGAGAGGACATGCAGACAGGGACAGGGAATAACAACACCTGCCCCAGTAGCTTCTAGAGAGGGTCTTTTTCCTTCTGCAGTTGACAAGCATTTAATCACATCCTTCTCTGAAGTAAGGGGTGGCACTTGCCTTTCCCTTACCAGGTGACTAAGAGATGTATGTTTATAGGCTCCTTTTAATGCTAGATCCAGTCCTATTTGGCCTGAAGGGTTATAATTCCTTGTGTCAGCCCTGAAGAGGAAAAATGAGAAGGAAAATGCCAGGGGCTGCTCCCAGTCAAGGATTTTCTGGGACAGTGGGGTCCAACCTTTTTGGCAAGTATGCCACAAATTAGCCCCACACCCTCCCCATATGCTATTCCTGTCCTCCTTCTGCTGAATCCATTCTTCTGTCTGCCCTGTGCTCCCTGCCTGATCTTTTCCTCTGCTTTCTGCCCTCTCAGTTGCTCTGCTGCCTGCCCTGTCCCTGATCGGTTATGTGCTACACACAAAGACTGCTTGTGCCACTTGTTTCTGTGCCACAGGCTAACCACCCTTGTTTTAGAACTGAGGCAAGCAAAATATGGCCCGTGGGCCAGATCAGGCCTCCCAGACCATTCTATCTGGCCCACAGGACCCCTAAAAAATTTAGAAAATTAATATTTATCTGCCTCTGGCTGCCTGTCAGAGATGACAGGAGTCACCGGCAGTAGGACCCAGGGGGAGCTGACAGCAGGACTAAGCAGCCGCAGCAGCAAGGCAGTCCCTCCCACCTACCCCCCAGCTGGAAGCCTCTCCCTAGCAGAGGTTTTTGGCTTGGGACCCTGGGGCTAAAGCCGTCCTTTGGTGGGGGAAGGGGAGGGTGAACTGAGGCAACTGCCCTGGGCCTCATGCTTTGGGGGGCCCTGCGGAGCTGGGCAGAAGCTGAGCAGAGCAGCTGTGGCCCTACCCCTCGCAGTGTTAAAGGGGCCTCACACAGGCTTATTTGCCTCAGGCCCCATACCCACCTACAGTCATCTCTGCCTGGGGCTGTTCCTGCCTCCCTGCACCAGAGGGAAATTCAGATAAGAGTGGGTGGGGAAAGACGCAGGGAAGGACCATGGGCAATTGCTACAGTCCTCACGACTGGGCCAGGCTGCCTCCTGCAGTCCCAGCGATGCAGCTGGGAACCATGTGGTGCCTGAGCAGCAGGTGGGCAGGGCGGGGAGCAGGGAAATGGCTGCAGAAGCGAGGGGGAGACACACACACACACACACACACACACACACACACACGAGCAGATGCATGGAGAACAGCAACAGCTGGGCGGGAGCACAGGGCCTGTGCTGGTGGGGCCCAAAGCGGGGCGCCAGGAGAGCAAGGTCTGAGCCAGCAAGGGCATCTATGGAGCCAGGCTGATTTCCTCCTCTCCCTGCTGGCACGGCCTAGCCTGGCTTCATAGAGCCCCAGCCGGCCCGTGCCCCATCTTGGAGCCCCTGCCAGTGCGGGCCTCGCTCTCCTGCTCAGCTGTCATTGCACTCTGTACACCCATTCACTGCCACTCCTCTGCCACCTGCTGCAGCCATTTCCCTGCTTTCCTGCCTGCAGCTGCCACCACTCTGGCACCAGGGGGTTCCTGGCTGCAGTGCTAGGCTGCAGGACTCAGAAGGTACTGTCCCAGCCCCCATGATTCTCGGCAGGCTCTGTGCAATTCCAGCTGGGTTGGTCTAGTTCCTGCTGCATCCTCTGGTCTTGGCCATGCAGCTGAGATGTGATGCCGGAGTGGAGAGGGTGGGGGACAGGGAAGCAGCATGAGAAGGGCAGCAGTGGCAGATGGGATTGGGAGGTGATGACGAGCAGGAGCACAGGGTCTGTGCCGGGGCCAGGAGCGGTAGGAGCAGGGAGCACAGAGCCCAGGCTTGGAGGAGGGCTAGCTGAGACTCTGCCTGCTGTGGGGGGGCTGTGGGCAAAGCCTTCCCCAGCCACCTTCCCCCCACACACAGTCTCCCACAAACCCCATACCCAACCACACCCCAGACATCCGCACACATGCGTACACACAGCCCTCGTGCCTATCCACCCTTCCCACAAACCCTCCACACACACCCACACTCTCCCCCATACCCCACCCACCCACAATATACAAGAGTAAGAATTCATTTTAAGCTATTATACTATCACCTCTATGTACACTACATAAACACATGTAAATCAGGACAAAAATATTTTTTGACATGAAATTAATGAATGTTGTAGTACATGTTTGATTTTTAAAATATAATTTGGTCTTTTTCTGGGTCTGAAATGGCAAACCCCCTTGCGGAAAGGAGTACTTCTGGGGAGCAAGGGGAGGGATTTCTGGTGGCAAAGGTCAGGGGCTAGGGGGCAGGACTTTCAGTCCCAAGATGGCAATCGGGGGGCAGGGCATCTGCCAAGGGACAATGGTTTGGCAAAACTCGGAAAGCAGCCCTTTGTCCAGCCCTGTTCTAGAATGACCAATCAGTCAACATGACCACCCGTATGGTACCAAGACATATTCCGCTAAGCAATACAGGGAGTAGCTCCAAGATGCTGTTCCTTAAAAATAGCTCTTTAACATTCCTTGCAGCTAATTTGTTTTATGTTTTTTTTTTCATTTCACAAACCTGAAAGATGTTGGGAGATATAGAAGTCATTCTTTCTGTATTCCTGCTCTATTGAATGACCTTTGTTTGAATCTCTGCTGGCTAAATGTAAAAGTCAGTGGTAATTATCTAGTGTCCAAAATGCTCTATCATAGGATTGCTCAACCTCCAGCCCATGGCCCAAATGCTCCCATATAGCTATGGCATCCAGGCCTCAGAACTCCTCACAGGTTGGGATATTTGGCTGCAGGAAAGCAACGCCCCAACCTGCCAAGTTCCCAAATCCCCTCTCCCTACCCACACATCTGTGCTGAGATTGGGCCATGCCCCCAGGTGGCTGCATCAAGGCCCCACCAGCTGGATCTGGCCAGGAAATGGACCAGGCACAGCCCATCCAGCCTGTGGGGCAAAAAGATTGAACCACCATTGCTTTACAGACCCACAGGACCTCATGCTGAGTTTGCTGAGCATCTCCAATGCCCATTGAAGTCAGTGGGAATTGTGGGTGCTCAGGACCTTTGAAAACTGGCCCCAAAAACTTTATTGCAAATAACGCTGCCATTGAGATGAGTGTTTTTTATTTTAGTTTTACATGCATCTACATTTGTACATGTTCAGCTTAACTTTTGGATCAGCCATCTGAAAATATATATTGATAGTGAACAACTGGTGATACCATGTTTTTTTATCGCAGGTTAACTGTGGGCTTATTGTGGTGGCTTATAAAGATGGCTCCCCTGCACATCCACATTTCATGGACATGGGCTTGTGCTCTCAGTATTGGACTAAGTGGCTGCTGCGCCTTGAAGAATATGGGGAGAAGAGAAGGAATGATGACATGAGCTGAATAGTTTAGAGGAAACCAGTCTGAATTTGGAGCTGAAGCAGGATATCCTGGATTGTAGCTGGGGCTCTGACTCCCTCTTTGACCCTGGGCAAATCACTTATTACATCTGTCCCCGTTTCCCCATCTGTAAAATGAGGATCACTTGTGCATACTCCACAGGGATTTTAGGATGATATGATGGGACACTGAAATAAATAGAAATGAAACTTTGTTTAAATTTTGAAGCACAGTTTATAAAGCATGACACCAATAGAATACCTTTCACAATGAATAGAAGCAAAATATGAGCTTGTTTAAGCAACTGTTGCAGAAGAGTGTATCTGAAAGTGAAACTGACTTTGAATCCAGATAAAACTAACTTTGTTGTTTATTGTATTCTCTCCACTTTGATAATGCAACAAGGAACAAAATGGCATAAATAGTGAAAGCAGACTGGATTTCAAACATGTTGGGTTTTGTCAGTCTCCAAGGTATTGGTAACACAGGGAATTGAGTCTCTTTACAACACATGTCTTTTTATGTGAATAGCATCCCTTTGATGCTGATAGCATAGACAGCAAGTATGTGGGGGCCCGATTTGCAACTTCTACAAAGCACATACTAATGAGGAAGACTATGCAATGGAACAAGGCTCCCAGTGTCATTGGCTGGTTCAGAATTGGGTGGTTGCTTGAGATCTAATTAGATTCAGTAGAGAGGCTAACATGCAAGCCTAAAAATTAAATTTAGATGCTGTCCCGGGGTTACTGTGCTAACATTTTCAGGAGTTCTGTTCTGTGAGTATCTCCTGGCAGTCACTCTTGCAGCATGGATGTGGCAGTTCAAATACACAAGGTCAGGGGTGGGCAAAATACATGCCTATTTCAGACAGCCCCGCACAGGCTGCGAGCGCCTGCAGCGCGGGGTGCTGGCCGTGGGGCAGCTGAGGGGCCACTTTTCAGCAGCCATTTCTTCCCTGCTGGCGAGCAGGGGGTCAGGGCTGTGCGCTGCCCCCTGCCTGTACCGCAGGGCTGGGGGGCACTGGGAGTGAGCAGGTGAGGGAGCCAGCAGAAGCACAGGGCCTGCACTGATGTCCTGGGGCCAGTGCCGGCGGGGCCCAAAGCAAGTTGGCAGGAGTGCAGGCTCCCAGCCGGCAGGGGCTCTATGGAGCCAGGCCAGCTCCCTGGTGGTGCAGCCCAGCCCAGCTCCACAGAACCCTGCCAGCCTGTGCCCCACTCTGGGCTCCACTGGTGCTGGCCGTGGGACACTGGTCCCAAGACATTGGGACATTAGTCCCAAGATGGTGAACAGGGGGCGGGGCACCTGTGAAGGGGTGGGGCTACCCATGCAGCCCTCCACAGCCTGCCAAAACTGTGTAAGCGGCCCTCAGCTCAAAATAATTGCCTGCCCCTGCACGAGGTGCTGGGCAACATTGTGTGGAAGGGTAAAGCAGTAAGAATCACGGAGATGGACACAGATAACTAAATGCAGAGACAGTAGAAAGCAGCAGTGCTAAGAGGTATTTGGGTTGGATAATGTACAATTAGGGTGGCTGTGGATTCCATAAAAGTCAAGAGGCTGTCTAACAGGAAAAAAAAAGATTCAGGTTTGCAAAAATAGATGCTCATTAGAATCTTGTTTGTTGTTACTTGATATGACCACTAGATGGCTCTGTGACATCTTGTGTCCCAGGCTGAATGTGGCCCATGGTAATCAAAGGAGAAGAATTTGGAGCAGAGGCTGTGTACAAGTCTGTGTCTGTTGATTTGTCTCCTTTAAAATACACCTTCATAAGTAATACGGATGATTCCATGTGGCATGACTCTTCCTAAATCCATGTATTAGTCACTGAAGTGCTAATCCTACACTTTTACAGTCAAGTGGATATGATCAGCTCCCTAGGTTGGGGGTCAGTGGAAGGTGAGTCTTGAAGTTCCAATGCTCTACCCAGGTTGTTAAACTAACTTAAGTATTTCCTTAAGGAGTAGTGTGTGTTTGTGATTTCTTTCTTTTTTTTTTTTTTTTTTG